ATTAAATCCTTGACTACGTGGTACAACCATGGATTATTCTTGTGAAAGTTAGTAACGACGAACTGAAATGTCTAAAATAGGAATTTACTCTACCAAAAACATAGAAAATCCTATGAACTTTTGGGGGTTGGAAGATGAGAGAAATTATCTTGGGTGCACTTTTTTCTTCTTCTTTACTTGGCTATTGTTGCAGTCATGGATTGTGGTCATGCACCCAAACTTCCTCTTCATTTCTTTCCACAAACTAATCCTTTCATTCTTCACTTTATTATTGCACATTCCTTTCTGAATCTCCATTCTCATCATACTGCATTCCTTCTCTAGCTCCAACACCTTGTTTCCCATATTTTCCATATCTGCCCTCGCCGTGTCTTCTAACTCTTCTTCATATTTATGCGGTCCCACCCAAAGCGAACTCCCGTTGTTATTACCAGTCTGTTGAATCATCTCCTTGCTGATGGTGTCCCTCAACCTCAGTTGCCCCGCAAACAGTATCTGTACAACCAACCTGAGGGGCAAACGGTCATTGTGCGCAGCATGTTGGCAGGCTTCCGGCGACAATTTGCTGCAATCAAGAACGCTGCAGACCTTCTCCCTCTCGCATTGCGTCAGATATTTGTGCTTCTCCAAGAAAATGTCTATGGCTCTGTATATCCCGTCCAAGTTTCCTTTGGCTTCGTCCGATATGGAGAATGCCAACTCCGAGAGTGATTTGAATGTGTCCACTTTCAAGTCCAAGTCGCTCGCGACCTCGCCCAAGAACTCCTCCATGAGGTTTGCCACTTTAACCAACCCTGAGAACTCAGAACTCATATAGTTCTCGTAGTAGTTTGACAATATCCTCTTTATGCATTCCGTGTCATACATTTCATCTCTTGCGTATCCCCGATGAGGAATGAGCAATTCCTTGACTGTTGCATGGTCGAGTTGTTTCCCGATTCTCAACTCTAACCCGCCTCTGCATTCCACGTCAGCATCTAATGATATCGCAGACTGTAACATCTCAAAAAGAGATTTGGTTGAAACCAACCCTTTGTCACGAGGCAACACTCTCTCAATCGCTTCTATTATTTCTCTCATGGAGTTTCTCTTATACGCCGTGGATTCGTCTTCTCCTTCTACTCCACCATACACCCAATTCTTCGCGTATTGACATAGCGACGCAGTAATGTATTCTTGTGAAACGTTGCGGTGAACCATTTCACGTATGATGGGTTCGTAAAGATGAACAGACAGAATCGTCAGGTCTTCCGATTTCCAATCAAAATTCTCATTCCTCTCCGGTTCAAGCTCTCCGAGAAGCGAAGGGTCATCCAGAGCCTTGATGATGATGGAGTCCACGCAAGCTCGGACCAAACCAAGCGCCATTGCAGGGTGGAGGACAGTTTCTGCAGATTTTAGGGCCTTGATGGTTCTGTTCCAGCTAGAGAGGACTTTGTGGTTAAAGTAATGGGTTGCAATGGTGAGAAGGTTGTTTGGGGAGTGGTTCTCAGTCATGCCGAGGTGGTGCGCGACGCAGAAAACCCTGACAATGTTCTCCGGCGTGAGGTTGATTCCGAAGCCGTGGTAGAATCTTGCAACAAGCTCAAATGTTTGTGGGTCTATGGGGATCTCTCCTGCTTCTAGTAATTGGGACAGATCTTGTTGAGGATTGTTCTTTAGTAGTGTAGCCACCTTTGCAGACTTGTCGGCAAGAAGTTCCTGACATATTTGATTGTTTGTCAAACATTAGTAACTTGTTTAGTGAGCAAACTTTTAGGTATGTTTTTTTATACAAGAGAAGATTGTGTTTGTCAAACCAAAGGTACTAATTAAGGCTGTACTCAGCCTGTCCCATAAAAAATTTGGATCTTTCAATAGTCACAGTAACTTTGACACTAAAATCTGGCATCGTACCACGGCATACATAGAAATTTTTATCTCGATTGCACAAACAATAATAATCATTATCTGCATATATCTATGAAACACATAATGTCAAAAGACTTTTTATACTTTTCATTTTTTGTTGATTCATTAATATATACTCTATATTTTTTTTTGCTTTTTTCTTACCTTTTTGGAGAAGGAAACGAGTGGTTTAAAATACTTTCCATTCAGAACAAAATCTAACCACTCACATTTTATTTTTTTAACATTTTTTCAACAAATTTTCTACTAGTTGGCAACAACAACATTTTGAACAAGTTGTCTAATGGTAGTGTTTAACTTTAACCTTTTCAAAGCTAATCTACTTCATTAAAAAATAATTTAAAATGCTAATGCAAACTTGAGTTTCCAGGGCTTTAATTTGCTTGAAGTCAAAATGAGATACTAATATGAAATAGATGGAGTTTTTGGCAAGCAATATGGACACCTTATTTGACTACAATGAAGTGATTTGACTATTTAGGCTCCGTTTGTTACACGGAGTTCAAATTATAAAATTAGAACAGAGGACAATAATTTCAATTCTGCCGTTTGGTAGCACAAAAATATGTGGATTTGGAATTGGTAGTGTCAAAATTGGAATTGGGCAATTCAATTTTATAGAATTTCAACTCATAATTCAATTCCAATTTCGTCAATTTCGTGTACCATCTTTTAATCTTTCATGAAGCTTAAGTTAGTTTACCTTTTTAGCAGCCTGAAAATGCAATAAGTTCAATGGAACTACTGGATGACTTGAAAAAAATTCAGTCACATGTTTAATGTTCATTACTAAAACAATCAGTCACCTTATAAGGTTTTCTAGTTATATTTTCATGTTTGGTTCAATTATTTAGATTATAAGGCTTTCTTTGGAAACAATATTTTTGATTAAAGTTAGGATCTTGAATAGATTAAGTTTAAACGTTAAGGTTATATATATATATATATATATATATATATATATATATATATATATATATATATATATATATATATATATATATATATATATATATATATATATATATATATATATATATATATATATATATATATATATATATATAGTTTCAAAGTTTCCAAAATCACTCTTTGTGAGCACAATAAGTACCTTGTTCAATGAATAATGGACTCCACCGATGTGCAGTAGTTGATGATCCACGCATGCATTCTTCTTGGACCTCCTACACAAGTTCCCCAAAACACATTTAATCAAATTTTTTGTCCCAATGATACTAGCTCAAAATATTTCGCAAAAACTTATCACTAATTTTTTTTATTTACATGATCAAATATTATCTCCTTTCGATTACTATTTTTATTTCTTCATGTCATAACAAATTGTGTTTAAACTTTATCATTCTCTGTCCGCTCTGTTCCCCATGCACGTCCCCGTCCTCCACCCTCATATCCCATTCCCACCCACCCCCTACTTTGGCCCCACATACACTACCACCCTCGTCCACCTCCACCCCGCCACCCTACTCTTCACCCTCCTACCCTCCCCCCGTC